AAATTGTTTTCTAAGCGCACGAGCACAAAATCGAAAAGTGTCAGCAGAATAAACGCTGACAATAAATAAAAATGGAAAATGATTGAAACATGTGCCATGCGCTCGCCTCTCGTTTGATATGCCATACACGTCTCTGCCTCTGCTCTGCTATATGCTCCTCCGCCCCCTCCACCTCCCACTCGCTCTCTTCGTCCATCTTCGACGCATTGTTATTCCCTCTTTACTCGCTGTCAATAGCCTGGAAATGTAAACAAATACAAAAGCAATCAGAAGCGACATTTTTCCCATCTAACGTGAGCGCGCACCAAAGTATGCAATAAAAATATGATTAGAAGTGCAAAGAGGAAGAACTGCAATTGTATCTACGATGATTTTGCGCTCGTGTGCATGTGTGTGTGTGCTGACAAAAGCATATAACTGTCTATTCTCTCTTGCATGCAGGCCATCAAATCGTATACGCCAATAAAAGTGAGTGAAATATTTTTATGAATTTATATTTTATTAAAGCTTTTAACACCTTTAACTAAATACTAATTTTCAAAATGTATATCTCCTGAGTTGTTTTAATTATTTAAATTTGAAATTTGAAAAAAACTAGCTTGAAAATTAAATTTTGTAGTTATTAATCAATATGTTAAAAAAGTTTATTTAATATGTATATGAATTTTATTTTTCGTATAATTTTAAAGAATGTATAACTATTTAATATCAAAATTATTTACTAGTACAAATAAAAAGCAGTGAGATAATTTAAATATTAAAATTATTTAATAGTATTTATTTTAATATGCACCAAGCCTTCAACCAATTTTTTTCAATATATATTTTGTTCGAACATTTATATATTCAATTTATTGGATTACAGATTAATATACATTTATATTAAAAGTTCTCATATGGCACTGCGAAAGTTATTCCCAGCTGCACCCCTTTAAGATTCTCTCTCCCCCTCTCACTCTGCGTAGAGTTTGTATAGCATAGATAAGGCATAACGATATCAATAGCCAATATTGATATCATGACAGGCCCAACTAATACCATATTGATTGCTTATCAATAATATAACCCCTTCGTCCTCCATATCACCTTCAGAGCAATCCCAAAGCATTTGCACCACATAACTCGGCATCAGTCGTCCGCTCTGTTGAAGTATAAAAGGGTTTTATGACCTGTTGGACAAAGCGTAAAATAAAATAAAAATAAAAAAAGGGCAAACGATAAACAATTTATACATATATATTTTTTATACACGATTTTTTTGTTTTTTATTTTGCGAGTGGGGAGAAAGAAATCCCGAACAAACATTAATTTGTAACGCACGTTTGGCCAATTTTGGTTTTACAATTTGCTTTCTTTTGACCATGCTAAACCAACAAAATATACCCCAATGACCGCATAACGAGCCGAAATCAATTTGCCACGTTGATAAGGTTAGGCCCAAACCAAACCAAACCAAACCAAACCAAACCGAACCAGGCCGAACAACCCTTTCGGGCCAAAAATGGGGTAGCCCTGTCATAGCCGGGATTTATAGATATTAAATTAGACAAGATTTTAACGCGCACGTAACTTTGACATACATCAAATCCCGGTAACCCCGAACGACTTAACTTTGAGTAATAACCATTCCCCATCAAAAAAATAAAAATAAATAAAATAAAATAATAAAAAAATCCTACACTAACAAAAATGCAAATTGCATGCCAAATGTTGAGATTTTCTGTTTGTCTTTCATTTCATATTGTTCTGCTGACCATTCAAATATTGTCGAACGCTGGAATGCTTGAATGCTGCACACATGTGACCATCATCTCCCTTAGCCTGCTGCGGTCTGCCCCAATTTCACGTTGAAATCGCATTATAATAATACACCATAATAATAATAACAATCATAATACTGAGAAACAACTGTTTTGCATGAGGTGCAAAACGAACTTTGTCCGCCTTGGTCAGCGAAAGGTCGAATCGCTGACAGTCAAGTCGCAGGTGGGTTTTATTTTTTCAACTACTTAAAGCTAATTTAGGTTTTATAAATAATTGGCCAAGCCACGTCTTTTCTCTTTCATTTAAAAAGGGTTAAAATTGTTTGGGGCTTAGATCAATGCAAAGTAGCCATTGGATGATTGTGATAAGATTTAACGTGGCTCGTCAAAGATTTAGGTTGCGTTCTTATAATGGATATTCTACTTCGAAAAATTGAACAACATAACTAAACAGACTCCTTTTATTAATCACATTCATAAAGGCATACGGAATATACATTCATAATAAGTTCATAAGTTTAGCAACAATAAACGTCTGCATCGATGTACTCGGCTCTACTATATAAATTATCTAAAGGCATATATGAAATATTCTTGTATACCTAACGAGATGCTATAAAGTACAATTCAAGAGTCCAAACTAAAATATAAATTTTGAGCATTATACCCCTAGCAACAACCCCTTTAAAATAAATAGTTAATATTAAGGGAAAGCCAAATTATATTGTAGAATAAAATTACTTCTTAACTATTTTCAAGTCAAATACTCTTGATTATATAATATGTATTTACACACATTTTTCGCATTGTTAATTCGAACATCGTCTTTTTTGTAATTCATGAAGCTCTCCATTAATATATTATATATCTCATAATTAGGCTTTCTTATAAGAAGCCAACTCTATAAGTATTAAATATTTCTCCAATTCTATAAAAATAACTGCTGTTTATTGTTCAGTTCAGCTTTCTTATTTTTTTGTTTTTGTTTTTTTTGTTTTTTGTTTTTGTTTAACAATTGTTTTCTAAGGAAGAGGGTCATAAATACCAGAACAGAGCTCTTTATAATCGTCTCCTCTTTGGCAGCTGCTGCAGCAAGTCCCACTGTTCGCTCACAGTTTAATGAACTATGCGGCAAAGCGAAGCTAACCTGGCCGTCAGCATTAGCCATGGCTATTTACCTTTGAGTTGATTTTAGTGCCAACATGTGGAAAGAGAGGCTCACAAATTATTTATTAATTACCCGCTTCTTAGTTTTTCCCCCTCTTTTCCTCTTGCTGGCTGGCTGGGAGTGAGTTTAATCAACTTTGGACCACTTTTGTATTCGAAATGCTCTCGCATTGCCATGGAGAATATGTTCAGAGACACATTCCCTGCTTATCGCTGTTGTCATTTCTTCGATTTCGTCTTCTCAGTTTCTTTTTTGCGCAATAAAACAATAAATCAATCACGGTTTGGGTTTATTCAAAGGCCGTCTCGTTTGTGCCTTATTTTGTTATCTTTTTCAACTTTTTAGTAGTTTGTTAGATTTTTTTTATTGTATTCCCGCTCGTAGTTGTGGGTATTTATGAGTGTACGTTATATTCTAAAAGAGAGAAAAAAGTTTCGTAATTTTTCTCTTCTGTTTTCTGTTCGAGATCTGTTAAGTGCGATAATCTGTTATGACATTGTTGTATGCATAAATTTATATCGAATTATAAAGAAGATCAAAGTTAGAGATGCTGGGCAAATAAAACAGACTATGCCTACATATAAATACGTACACACACTCAGATGTACATAGAAGCATAAATAAATGAATAATAAAGTCTATCAAATAGAGAGCGAATAGCAACAGCTGTGGTGAGAAATCTTTTCATCTACTCACAGTTTCGCTTGACTTACAGAAATGATTTTGAGCGGAACTTTAAGCGCAATGAACGAGTCGCTCTCGCTGCTCACACACGCAGCGCGCAAACAATGGCGGCTTCAGCTCTTTCTCGCTCTCACTCACACTCTCGTGCTCGTGAGCTCAAAACGTTCAGTGTGCTTGGTGGGTAGGTGTGGCCTGTGCCTCGCTGCCCAATTCCATTGCGTTCCACTTATGCTGGCGTTGTTGTTGCGCTCTTGTGTGTGAGTAAATTAAAATTGTGTAGTTTATTATTAAATGAAGCGCATTTTTGTATTTGTATGTGTATCTTTGCTATGCGTAGAGTATGTGTATGGCTATATACGTATGTATGTGTATATATGCATATGCATATGGGAATTGTAAATCGTTTCCATTGGAGCAGTCACATAATAATATTGAAATGTTAATTAGCGTATTAATTAAGTTATTTTTTTATTTGTTTGCATTTGTGAGCTGATAAATGCGCGAGCAGACAATTAATCTTAAATAAATTAAAAGCTAAACTAAACGTATATTTGGAAAAACGCAATCTCAGTACTAAATATATATATTCCTTATAAATATGTATATATAAACTGTTATATAAAATATTTATTGCTTTAATATGAAAGTCTACTCAATATTAATTTTAATAAATTTCTATATTCTTTTATTTGCTTTCAGCATTTTAAACATTTAATTTATATATTTTACATTTTATTATGGCAATGCACGAGATTTAATTATTTTAATGAATAAAGTCTGAGCATGACAATGCAAAAAACCCGTTGCTCAATCTCTGCCAGCTACAGCTTCATTTAATATTTATAGCTTTTTAAACAAATAAACAGCATTCACAGTCGGGCCGCGCCTCAAACAGAGGCGGAAGCAGCAGCAACACCCACCGGCAGCAACAGCAGCAACAAGAACAGTGCAAATGCACTCAACCACACACATACATGGGTAACTCTCTGGCATGTACCACACACACACACACACAACCCGTGCTGAAACGCAACCAGTCCAGTTCCAGCTCCAATCCAATCCGAAATAGTTGATTTTAATGATGTACATAATAAAATTCCCATTCGTTTTGTGCCAATGCCAATGCGTTCCAGCTTCATTGCATGTTTACACTGATTGTGGAACGCACAAGCAGACACACACACACAAACACGCACACACAGATTCAACTGCTCGCACACTGATTTACAAAGGAGAGAAAAATACAACTGCTTGTTTGGTATCTGTGTCTTGCTCTCTCTTGCGGGATGCTGCCATCGAATGAGTGGAAAAGAGCAACCAACGGGCCGGAACAGGGTTGCTCAGACAATTGCGACTGCTGCTGCCGCCGAGATTGCCCAGCGCTGCGTGCGGGTCACCATGTGAAGTGAAGTCGTTCGAGTCAATTTCGAAATCATTCGTTAGTCTTAGGCCTAAACAAGCGGACACGCGCGCGCGCCTCTCTCGATCCAAGCCCACGCAAAGTTGACAGAAATTGCGGAAATTCGTGTTCGCAAATGGAGCCAAGGCGGGCCACCGAGTGCTAAGAGTTTTCCAGTGAACTGAACCACTTTGAAAGAAAAGTTTGAACAGCAAAATTGAATTAATGTTCGCTTATCTTGTGTGATCGTTTCGACCAAACTGTTCGTGAAGAAAGCAGAGTTAGCCAAATAGAGCTCGCTTAGCCAAACTTCTTCTGAGTGCAACGCGTGTTCCATACAATACAACAAGCTGGGTAGTCCATTCCTGCACGCTACACCCGCGGGTGGCAGTTGCAGCAGCAACAACCCATCGCCCACACCGGCATCGGCAGCCAAGCAACTAGCCCAAACCTTCCAGCTATCGGCCAATTCGGCCTTCAATCTAGCCCTGCCGCCCAGCTTCTATCATCGCCTGCCCACAGACGTGCCCGCTCCGAATCCGGTCAACGCAGCGGAGTGCGTGCCCTCGCTCGACTACGTACACTCCTCGGCCAGCACCGATCCCGACATGGATCTAATAAATCCCTACATGCGCCATCACAGCTTCGCCGCTGCCTCCCAGAGCAGCCCGCCGTCGGCGGCGCAGCGCCATCACCTGGCCGCAGCGGCTGCCGCGGGACTGAGCAATGGATTCGCCGATGTTCATGCACATGCGATGGCCGCGGCGGACTACCAGCAGCAGCTGGCCGATTACCACAGTGCGGCGGCAGCGGCGGCTGCCTATGCCAGCAGCAACAACAATAATAACAACAACAGCCCACTGATGCTGCTGAAGGCGGCGCACGGCGGCGGAGTCGGTGCGCGGCTAACGGAGGCCAAGTCTTCAGCAGAGGATTCGCCCTCGACAACGCCGCCGCCAGCCTCCTCGCGTCTGCACTCGGAGTCGTCGCCCTCGCCGCGGTACGAGCACAACTCCAGTCCCGGCGTCGACAGTGCCAAGTCCTTTGCATTGAGCCAGCGCAGCAGCGGCGGCGAGGAGCATTGCCAGAACAGTGGGTCCAGCCCGCCGCCATCTGACTACAGTCCGGAGAACTTGACCAGTCGCAAGTATCAGCATCCAAGCAGTGGCCTCAATCCGCTCAGCCTGCACAATAACAACAACAACAGCGGCAGCCATCCCAACAATAATAACCACAACAGCAACCACAATAACAACAACAACATGGAGCACAAGCTGCCATTAAGTTTCTTGGGTCCGCCGCTGGCGGCGCTGCATTCCATGACCACAGAAATGAAGACTGCACAAGGCGTCGGCTCTGGCGCCGGCAGCGGCATCGGCTCCGCTGGCAATGGCCTGGTCTATGGACACAGTCCCAACTCGCACCTGATCAGTGAGCGGGTGACGGGCTCGTCCAGCTCGAGCAGCTCGACGACAACAAATACTCAGGGCGCCGCCAACCCACATGGCATCGATACGATACTATCGAAGCCGCCGCCCGTTACATCGGCGGGTCTAAGTGCTTTAACGGGAGGTAAGTTAGAGCAGCTCTCAAGTTTATTAATGATATATAGTTTAGTGAGAATCCATTCAGTATTAGATCTGTGCAGTATTAGTAATAGTTGAGTATTTTTTTTTTTCCTTATAACATATCCTTAGATTAGATAGAGAGATAGTACAGTCGAGCCCCGATAATTCGAAATGGTAAGGGGATCAGTTTTTTTTTTTCGAATTACACCGATATTCAAATTATCGAGAACGAATTTTTGCGAGGTGATTGATTTTCCTTTCGATTTATCGCGATATTTGATTTAGCGGAGTGCAAATTATCGAGTCTCGACTGTATCAGATATTAGTCACATATTGATTAGTATTAAAAAACTGCTCAAATTATATGTATGATAGGCCTCTTTATTCGGAAATGGATTTGAAATGGTAAATTACTAAAACTAAGATATGTGTGTTTATGTATATTTTGTGTTAATATTATAAAAAATTTCTATTAAGTGAATTTCATGTCCAAAAATAGATTTTCAACGAAAGGAATGTCTAACTAAAAACTAGTTTAATTGAAACAAATAAAAACTTATTTGAGCACCTATATTATATTAATACAATGCTTTAATTTTATATATTTAAAAGAGTTTATATTTAATAATAATTAAACTTATTTGAAAACTATTAATGAAATAATATCAAATTTTAAATCAATTTGAGGATATTATAACAATTAAATTGATAAATAAAATGAAATTGAAAATATTCAACCTTCCCATGCAGAAATCTTCGCTAATATATTTGGCATTAGTTCATTTAAAATCCCTACATTAGTCAGTCCAAAAAAAATTCTTATTGCTGCTCGATGATGATCATAGCCATAGGTTTGATAACCATTAAAAATTCAATAATCAAATATATACATATATATTTATTTGTGCATCATTATGCAATGCGAATGTATTGAATTGACATTATGCACGGCCCCAAAATTATTTGAAACGCTTTAGGCGCTGCTTCGCTCACAAAAATTCCAACCAAAAATGTTTTGTTTTTTCTGCATGAATCCGGTTTGACGTGATTCCACAATAAAATAGCAATAACAAATACAACAACAACAACAACAACGGCAATTGAGAGCACCTTCAACCCTTTCCCCTCACAGCTAAGCAGATGGCAGAGTTGAGAGCATTTTATTGGACACAATTCCCAAAAATCATATAATATCGAAATTGCAAAATGACGCAAAGCGTAATGCGATACTTAAACGTTTAGCAATTAGTTGTCAAATTGTTTGTAATTAAATCAAAATGACACACGAAAAGCAGGGCGAAACGACAACGAAAGGAGATGGTGGAGGTGGAGGAGGAGGAGGAGGGAGAGGCATATACCACATACATATATGACTTTGCCGTTTCATTGAAATGATTTCAATTTTTCGACAGTTAAATGTAGCCCAATTGTGCGGCATGACAGAGCCGAGACCGAGACCGACAGCCAGACCAATAAGGAGTGGGTCAACATTTGCTCGTAATCAAAAAAGTGGTGTAGGCGAGTAGGCAGGGGCCACCAGTTGGCCAAGAGGAGGTTGAACAGGCGGAGGAGGCGGAGGAGGCGGAGGAGGTGGGCACCTATGCGACAGGGCGTTGACAATTTACCATAAAACTTTTAATTAATTTTAACGAGGGCGTTTATGTGATTTCATTTCATTTTGCTGCTAGTTTTGTATTGTTAACCAAAAGCACAAATCTTTTTATTCTTTTCATGACAAATTATTTAATAGCATCGAATTCATTCGATGAAATCGTTTAGATGTTTCAAGTTCTAAGCACAATGAGTTGCCAAATGGCTCAGAAGACAGAGGTAATTTTTGAGGTCTTCGCGTTTCGATTCGCTTATGAATAGTTTCATATATTTAGAAGGTTACAAATAAAGTTAAATGAATGTTTATAATTATTCGATAGTTTTATGATAATTCATTTATATAGACATGTTTGTAAGCTGGGAGAGTTTAGGTACATTTAGGTGTAAAATCAAGAATAAAAACATTCATCAGGTAAAATTGAATTAACTTAATAGTTATACTAAACAATAATAACATAAAATAAAAAAAAATAATAAAAATAATAAAAAAAAAAAAAAAAATACAAATATAATAGTAATCATAAATAAATAAACAGCAAATAAGCCTAATAGATAAATTAGCTGGCAGCGCTTGCCCTTTTAAGAGTATTTATAGTTAGTATAAGCGACAGATTATTAAGGGAATCGCATTATCTCCCCGCAATTCCATGTTATCTAATGAGAGCTGTTGAATTGGCTAAACGTAAGATTAAAGCATATTGATTTATATTCATATGGATGTGAAAATAAAATTAATTATATGTATATGTAAAACCAGATGGATGTATTAAGTACCAAAAACTAAGGTCTTTGTTATTATATAACGCACAGTGATGTAGCTCGAATTTGAAGAAAAAGAAGCTAGTGGATTAAGCTGATTTTAAAAAAATTAAAAATATGTGCACAGAAAAATGTATTTTAATATTTTATTACTTTTTTTTTAAATTAATTAATTTTTTATTATTATAATTTTTTTTATACATTCACTTAAAATATAAATATTAACAGTTTTATAAGACTAAACCATTTTTCCTGTAAATAAAATATTTCGTGTTGGTTTCACCTGAACTCAAAAGTAGAATATAGTTTCGATAATTCATTACTATCGATTAAAATGGAAAATATTTACATAAATTATTGAAATAATTTGCTCTTACAGCTGGCATTCCACGTTTCTCCATAGCCGCTGCTGCGGCGGGCATGGCCCAATATCTGTCGCAGAGCCAGGGAGCGCCACTGAAGACGCACGCCGGGCACATTGTGGATCGCACGCATCTGTACTGGCCGGGACTGCAGGGTCTGGTGGCCAATCCGATAGCGTGGCGAGAGCGTCTATCGAATACAAGTAAGTGATTGAATTCAAAACCTGAATATGTGCACTAATTTGCACATATCAAGCACCTTACAGAAATTGTATATGTGTGTGTGTGAGTGTGTGTGTGTGTGGAACTGTTGAACAATTATTCAGTGCATTCAGTGCTGCGGTAGCACGTAATTTGGTTACAATTGTGGCGAGGCCAGCCCGATGATTTGTCAACAATGAAAGCCACACCTCGAGCTTCATTGAGGCCCGATCGACTTCCTGTTGATACCGTTAACAAAGCGCAGCGAATGAGGCAGCTGCCCCTAATGATCATGGATCGCTACTCAAGTGATTACCAATGCGACGCGTCCAATGTGCTTAGTGCATGGCCCACGGCCCATGGCGCATTGTCGAGCTCATTAAAAGAACTGGCAGCAAAAATAAAAGCAGAAGACGAGAAATACAAATAAAGGGAATCACTTTAACACGATCAGCGATCAGCGATCGGAGATCGGAGATCGGAGATGGACGCATCCAACGATCGATTCATACAGCTGACAATGACTGCACATAAAAGAAGAATTTATTTAACTGAAAAGCCATATGAAAAATTAATTTACTCGCATCTTTCGCTTTCGAGCGTCGAGCATCAGGCATCGAGCATCGTTCAGCCTCGTTGGGGTAATGATTCTCTGGATCTGGTTACTTCATTATTACATCTATTTATAAGGTTCCGCTCCCACTCCCGCTGCCGTTGCCGCTGCCGTTCGTCTGCTCTGCTCCACACTTCACACCTACATAAGCTCATTAAGTAATCGCCCAACTCCAGCATCAACTCGAGCTCGAACTCGTTTTCACATTGTTTATTTATTTAAACACCCCTTCCCGCTCGATCTCTTCTCTCTATCTCCCTCGCTCTCACACACTCTCTGGTGGTTAATGATCGTTCGCAATGGCAATTGATTTGATTTGATTTGATTTAGTGTTGTGGCTACTGCCAGGCTATCACACTGAAGCAGTCACTGAGAAGTCAGCGGAGTCAGCTGCTGTTTGGCTTTTAATTGCGCCCGTGACGGTGCACATTTTGCTAGCTGGGCTTAAGTCGGAAATTGAACATAATTTTCTTATTGAATTAGTAACGAGATCGCCAGAGAGCGCTACAGAAGAGAAATGTTTGTCTTGTGTTCGACTCGATTTCTGAAGTGTATCTCGGAATGCTTGGTAGCTGCTGCGATTAAGTAAATATTGTTTCAATTGATTTGCCAAACAGTGTAGAGCTCAAGTCTAAATAGCGAGCTGGCCAGCAAGTTCAGCAGCCGAGCAGCATGAAGCAGTTATCTCAATGACCTTCTTCTTAAAGCAATGCGGAATTCCAGCTTAAGAATATAGTAATTAAATTTGGAGATTACTAAAGCTGTTTGGCTCTAATTTTATGTATATAAATGTGTTGTACCGTTTCTACACTTAATAAACCAAATAAAAAAAATTTAAAAAAATCAAAACAAAAACTTGGTTATTAGCTAGATTGCTAGAATTTAATGAATTAATTTCTAAATACCCAAGCCCAGATCCAAGCAATAGCCAAAGTCATTCGCATTTCATATAATTAGGCATCACAGTGAACCCTGGAGTAGAATTAGAACAAAAATATCCCTAATGAGATTTTGCAAAATATGTTTATTCATATAAAATGTTATATTATTTAATAAAATTTAATAAATATGTGTATACTCCATAGAATTCCATAACCAAACCAAGTCGCGGCCCTTTATTACTAATTCATAATATCAAATCCCTTTTTCTACTACCTATTGATATTGTTGATAACGATAGTTGTATTTACCTATATTATAAATCATGATAACTAACCTTACCCATGATATTTCCTAATGCAGTGCCGATTCGCTCTCAATACGATAGATAAAATTGATAGAGACCTTATTAATGTTGTATAATATGATATTATATGAAGTTCTATTCGATTGAATGGGTGACTGTTTAAACAATGTGCACCCCAGGCCATAAAAATTGCAATGAACTCGTTGAAACTCACAATTATGCAATGAATTGCATTGCAAATATTAATAAAAAGTGGTAAAGGTAAATGAACATTTGTTTGTCATAAAAAAAGTGTGACAGGGAGAACTCAATTTGCGATAGACCCAATCAATAAATATATATGTGTGAAATATTAAAAAAAGAGAACTGAATATTATATAATAATAAAATTTAAAATACTTGAATGATTATTAATATAATCACATAAAACAAAAAATAAAAAACTTTTTAAAATTTAAAACAAATCAAATCGAATTAAATATTTTTAAACAATTATCAATCGAATAATGATCACATATAACACTGTAAGTTATTTACCTAGCAAATTTATTGAAATAATACAAAACTTCAACTTAAAAGAATTATTAATCAAAACATTTAAGTGTTAACACATACAACAAATAACAATCAAAATAATATGACATAAAGAAATCATAACCGAGTGCATAGCATACTTTTGTGCGCACATATAAATTCAAATGAGTGAAACTCAGTCGCCGCCATTTTTGGTGCGATGTCCTGTGCGCAGCTTTCGCATAAAACAACAGAGACAGACACAAGCACACGCACACATAAACACTAGCACAAGCACACGCACAGACATACAGCCATATGAACAATCCACGAACATATAAAGCTTTTGCTGCCTTGTTAACATGACAGCCTACAAGCACATAAACACACACACACAGACGCACACGCACACACACACTCGCAGCTGCCCCGTTTTGGCATACTGCTCAGCCTCCATTTGTTGTTGATGTTGTTGTAGGTTCGTCTAGATAATAATGTGGCAACATATTCTTGTAGCGTCTGCGTCTGCCCTTATCTTATGCCTATCTGCCACCCATGCCACATACACAGCTACATGCTATATATACCCAACATTTATATAGAGCTCACAAACACACACACACACACAGCCGTAGACAGCCAGCGATATAACAACATTCACTTTTTCCGGTAAAAGTTTTTCTTTGCTCCCTTCGCTCTGTCTGGCTGAGCAGCTGTCGCATATTCGTCGACATCGGCGGGCAGCCATAATATGTATATACAAATAATAAATAAATAAATATACAATTTTTATGTAAATAATAAGCGCACACAGAGCCATCATTTTGTGTTTTATGTAAATGTGCCGAAAATGTGGAATATATAACAATGTTTCGGCTTGAAAAATCATGTGAAAACAATGAGGAAAAACCATTGACAAGCGAGTGAAACATTTGTTTTGAATTGTTTTTATCTTGTTATTGTTTTACAACAAAGACGAGTGATAGATACTAGATACTAGATACTAGATACTAGATACTAGATACTAGATACTAGATACTAGATACTAGATACTAGATACTAGATACTAGATACTAGATACTAGATACTAGATACTAGATACTAGATACTAGATACTAGATACTAGATACTAGATACTAGATACTAGATACTAGATACTAGATACTAGATACTAGATACTAGATACTAGATACTAGATACTAGATACTAGATACTAGATACTAGATACTAGATACTAGATACTAGATACTAGATACTAGATACTAGATACTAGATACTAGATACTAGATACTAGATACTAGATTCTAGATACTAGATACTAGATACTAGATAGTTTTTAAACATTCTGTCACCCGACTCGCTCTCTCTTTTCTTCATCGGACTCACTCTCTCATAGGAAGCCAGTAAAATAATTAACTTGAATACAAAAAGTAAATATGGGGTACAAAATAAAATGCGTTCAAGTATATCATAAAAGGTAGCAGCAGCTGAAACTACTGCCAGTTATATAGCTGTCAGATGAGCCAACTAGCCGTATATAGTCAAAGACAGCAAAAACCAAGTTAACCAACGGCTGACCAACTGAAAGCGTTGTCTACATTTGACACAATTCATTAAGCTTAATGAAGACAGCAGCAACGAGGCCCAAATAAAAAGTTACGGCTGCCGGCAAGAGGGAAACACAGAAAGGGAGAGACAGGGCGAGCGAGAGAGATAGAGGCAGATAGTCAAGAGCTGTGCTTAAACCTTTTGCTAGCTGTTGCGTTTAATTAAAATTCAAGTGGCGCATTTTGTACGTCGCTGTCGTCCTCCTAATCGCTGGCCAAAGAACTTGTGCTTTAAGCACATAATCGCCCATAAAACAGGCAATAAAACAATGCAATGAAGCTGAAGCCGCAATATACAAGGCAGAACGAATCCACTTAATGAGCGATGCTAACTAGGTAGAGAGCGAGGTTTATGTAACGTAAGGATTCATTGCTGTGTTTACTCTGCTAATTGGCACAGACATTTTACAAGATTGTCAAAGCGCGTTATATAAGTAAATATTCATATCCTGGAGGGTTTAGTTATTATTGTGAATTGCCATGGTTGATGTTTGAATTGACATAATTTGTATAGAAGAGTTTGCTAACCAAATCTGGTTACGGAATTGACTGTCATTTGTCTGAATTGACCTACTTAATTCGATATATACTAATCTAGTTTTGAAATTCGCTTTAAATATCTGATATCTATGATTTTACATAGTGTAAGGAAAGATATAGGTTCATGGATCGATGGATTTGAAAAATAATATATAATACAGTCGAGTCTCGATAATTTGTACCCCGCTAAGTCAAATATCGCGATATATTGAAAAAAAATAAAAAAATCTATCCCCTTTAAAAAAAAATTCGTTCTCGATCATTCTCAAGAATTTTAATTTTTGTGTAAATAAAAAAAAAAAATGATCCCATTTCCATTATTTATTTATATGCAAATGCCTATTTAAATTGTTAAGCTAAATATATTTTAGATATAAAATATACGAAGTTTTTATTATATAAATACAGAATATTATTTACTTCATTAAGCAGGCATTAATTTTTTAAGCACGAGATACATTTGTCGTTGAATTTAACCCATATATCTGACTTTGCTTTGTGCCAAGTAAAATTGTGCAAGCGAAAACTCAGTTCGTTTCATTGTTGCCATTTTATTGTTTGTCTATCAACAGTTGCCATTGTCGCCTCTGCACATGCTCTGGCTCTCACGCGCCTGTTACAAATGACTTTTTAATATTTTCAATAAGGCAGCAGCAGCAGTTAGCCAAAACATGGCACGCCCACCTATCGCGCCCCTTCGTCCAACATTATTAATATCAATAGCGTATAAAAGCAAAATCCCAAACCGAAAATATTAATGCCATAAAAAAAAGAACAACAACAAAAAAAGAGAAGTAGGCGAAAAATATTTGGACGTGAACAAAGCAACAACAACAACACAAAATACGAGCAGAAAAGTGCAAATGCAGCGTTGGCAACAGGGTGACTTATGCGATTATAGACAACTGGCACAGGCTAAGGCAACAGCTAGGGGGAGCTACAAGGGCTCTAGAAGGCGAGCCTCCTGCCATTGCCATTGCCATTGCCTTTGCCATTTCCACTGCCAATTCATTTTTCGTTTTGTTGCACTGCGTGAGGGCCCGGACATGAGCAAATAAACGCTTCATATTTGTCGGTTATTTATGAGGGTTCTTGGGACGCAGCTGCAGGGCCAATGGATGGATAAAAAGAGACAAGCGCCAAGAGCGAGAGTGAAAGAGAAGCGAAACTCGCGACAAAAACAAAAAAACGAAAAGGAAATAATGAGCAATGATAACATTTTCTAATACTCTAGAAAAATGCATTGAATTTAATTTTAAATTAATTTAAAGAAATTCAATTTTATATTATATATTATTACTATTACTACTATAGACTCTTCTGTGATATCTTCAGAAAGTTCTCTTCCATTATACGAAGTTTCATTGGGAAGAGTATTCAATATGCCACACAAACCCCATATCGCTGCTAGGGATTAGGCTTGTTATGAGCCAGGCTTGGCCATGTTCCTTGACACCCTCTCACTCCAAAAGTTTTTCATAGCTTGTTAAGCTTACGAATTGTCTGTGAAGAAGTATGAAATACATTTTATGGCTCATATTTATTTTGTTACGATGTTATTTAGCTTTTCTCTCTCTCTCTCTCTCTCTCTTTCTCTCTTTTGTTTGTTGTGCATTGCAATTGTTTTCTGCAGTTGCAGCTGAGCTAAGGATGTAATGAATGAAAGCTGTGAATATATTATAAGAGACGTGTTTTTTTATACGACAATCGAACGGTGATAAAGTCATGGAGCGAGTCAAATGATGAGCATGAGAAATGTGGGAGTATCGAAATAAATGGAAAATAAAATATTTAGTATTAATTAATATTTGGTAATTAAACTATTGAGCCTATGTTCAATTTAATTGAGATCTACCGATCTGCAAATTAGGATCTACCGAAACTATATTAAATTGATTTCAGGCCTTCACATCGTTAACTTTATAATTCAAAGTATTTGGAGATTCAACAACATTCCAACTCAAGCCAGAATCAATGTGGATGCAATTCGTGCAGGGGCTGAAAGCTTTATTATTTATATAATATTAAAATATCAATTTGTATAATACATATAGTGCAAGATTTCATTCAAATAATTTCTATTCGCAACATAACTTTTGACTCTTGTTCTGCTAAAGAAATGTATTTGGTTCTCTGTTCTATTAATAGACTAATTTTAATTGGAATTTTGGGTTTCATTGGGTTAAGCTCAGAGGGTTTTTGTCGTATTGTTAGTAACTTTAGCTTTGCACGTTATTTCAACCACATCTCATGCTAAACTCACACCAAAACACACACACACACACACACACACACACACACACACACACACACACACACACACACACACACACATCCACAGCCAAGCTGTCATAATTTAAATAATGACAAAATGCACCAAAGTATCATAAAGGGAGCTAAAGTTTCAGGAGAACTACTCCAGAGTAAAAAGCGTCCAGCTCGTATATTTGATGTAAATTTAAGTCTCAAGCGGTACACACAACAGAAGCGGACCCTTCAACCCTCACACACACACTAACAGAAATGCCACCCACTAGGCTGGTGTGGAATTTGGGCATCACCTTTTTACCTAGCGCCAGGCGCGCCCTGTGCATATTTAGTCAAATCATTTCACATAATTAGGGATCATTTAATAATGGGGTGACATTAATTGAAAGCGCACACACACACACGCACACACCAAACAAAGAGGACGGCATAAGGGCTGCTTAGACCACCCACCCACACTTCTATAGAAAGAGACAGAGACAGAAAGAGAGCAAAAGCAAGAGCGAGAGAGAGAGAGAGTCAACTGCTGCCGTTTAATTTTATGACCACCACCCAGCCTCTGGTGGGGGATGGGGAGAGCGGTCGGTTGTTCATGCTCTAGTGGCGGGGGCGTGGTCCCAGCTTTTATTGGCCTCTTGTCGTCAGCGTCGTTGTCGTTTTGGCTAATTGATTTTAATGAAAGCCCGAGGCCCCACGGACCCAACGCTCAGTGGCTCCCATAAATTCTGCGGTCAATTTGGGTTTGTTAATTGTCGCAACGTGTGCCCAGGCCCCACAACGTGGGCCACTCTTTAGTTGTGAGCGTAATTAGTGTCTAATTGTTATGCGGAGCTGGCAAAAATGAATGGCCAAAAACAAATTAGATTAGATTTTCCATTGGGCACAATGCTTCCATATTTGCTACCTGCACTAAGATACGCTTCTATAAAGATATATATACCTATATACATATAGATATATATGTGTGTACAACGTCCAATAACAACCCCAATAACCCACAAAAACGATTGCTCAACCACCGCGCTCCAAAATTCGCAGCTGTCGCCAAATGCGCGCGCCATAAACAATTAATAAATGTCAAAAAACTTTGCCACAACGACAACAGCAACAACACAGCAATAAGAGCGATCCTCTTACCTTGCCAACTTTATTTTAAGGACATTATAATCTCGATAAATTTCATGAAATTGTTTCATAATTAAATCATCTCAAATTTTCCCAACTTTTTGGAGCTTGTAAACACGACTCTTAAACGTAAATTCAACAAAGTTTTGGAAAGTGAAATGTTTTTATGAATTGATTATTGCCATAAAAGTAACATTGCGTAGCGGGGAATACCGTCTAAAATGAAGGCAGCATTTCTATAAGGTTGCAAGATATAACCGTATTTGTATTTATTAATATTTATATCAATCAAAATAACATATTAAAATTTTGTTGTGAGAGAGAAAGCTACATCAATTTACAAGAAAAAAAAAAAAATCAGTCAAACTTTTACTTCAAATATAACAAATATTTCACATATTATTATTATTTTTTATGCTGCTCAATCAATAATATTGTTTTAAATATACATATATATAAGAGAGATCAGCATTATATTGTCATTATTCATAAATATCGCCGATTTTTATATTAATCTGAATTTTACATTTTCCATACTAAATTCGATCCTTATATAAGTCAACATTTCACATTTTACATTTTACAGTTAACATTATACAATTTAAATTTAAACTTTTTTATTTTACATTTATTTACATTTCATAAAAGAACGATTTTAAAATGTGTTTTATTCTCTTCATCTTTCTATGCTGTTTATTTTTAGTAATAATTTCAAAATAATAATTTAGGCTAAAGCAACATTTATATATATACGAAAGTTAAATAAATTTTAATCTTAATATTTTGTTGTACTTTTTTAATCCTTTCCAGTGTCTGCAAATTTGTCACAGTCCCATCAGCACCATCCATCCAACGACAAGGATGGCAAGAAGAAACACACCCGCCCAACATTCAGTGGTCAGCAGATATTCGCGCTGGAGAAGACGTTCGAGCAGACGAAGTATCTGGCTGGGCCGGAGCGCGCCAAGCTCGCATATGCCTTAGGAATGTCCGAGTCGCAAGTTAAGGTAAGCAGCGCCCCACATTTCGCTCATGCAAATGAAATGCTCATAAAATGGCGACAGGACGCCAAACTGCCCAACTGCCAAAAAACAAACGAGAAACAAGCAAACAAACGAGCAAACATGAGGTAAAAGATACGCTCAACCTTCCCCTGTAGCCCCGCCCACTGTGCATTACACCGCCCTTAACTTTTGTGGCAATTTGCATTTTTATTGAAACGCAAAGCTCATGGATTTTTGGTTTATTTTTTGTCGAAGCCCGCAAAACAAAATGGCGCCAATGGTCTGTCCCTTGGTGCACCCGTCGATGGTGCCCTAAAGGCTTAGTCCACATGTCTGCCCCACCTTCAAGCCAGTCCGAGCCGCCCTTAAAAAAACCATTCCATGCGCGACATTTTAAAGTTGTTGCAAAAGGTCGACGGTTTTTTACTCCCCCACCACCCTTAAACCGCCCGTAAAATGTTATCAACATATAAATCCTTCGTGTCGTCAAATTTGTTGAGCGGCATCGCCATTCCCATCTCCATTCCCATCTCCATTTCCATTGCCATTGCCATTGCCATCATCGTTTTTGTAATCCTTACCAGAAACGCACGTGTCACTGCCGTGGTCCGTAAGTCGCGTGTGTGACGCGACTTTCGGAACTCGTGGGGTTTGTAATTTAAATTAGCCCTAAGCCCAGCTAGTTAATTGCTTTTGCTGTTAGCTTTGTTTAGGCAATAGGTAAAATATACGATAGGTTCGCTTCCAGGGAATATCGTATTTACATACATGGAAGAAATTAGCAAAAGTAAACGATATTCAAACAGAATTGGGTACTCTCATTTCTAAAAGGGCTTTATAGAAATGTAATAGATTATTTGAGCAGAAAAAATCAAATTGAATGAATTTAATTTTTATTAAATTTGTTTTATTTTTTCGCATTTTTTTTTAGAGTTTAAACGAAATTTTAAATTAATTTCAAAGCAAATATAATATTCATTGAATCCATTTATTATTTCTATCATAAGAAATATTTTTAGAAAAATAAAAAAAAAAAAAAACCTAATTAAAATTTTAGTCAATCTTTAAAAATTTCGACTTCAGTAAATTTTCTTAAAATTGAAAAACAAAAATTTTTAAATTCATATTAATCATTTTTAATAATAGTCGAAAATATTTAAACTGCGTCCATCAAATACAGCCACAAAATTTAAGATTATCCTATTTCTGTAAAAACAGAGAACTCTTTGCCAACTACAATGTGCATTTAGTTTCAGTAATTTGCAATTTCATTAGTAGGTTAGATGGTAACATTTGTCAACCAATTTGTAGAGCTTAATAAGTACAACCCCCTTAGCTAAGAACAGCCCTTAACTGTCTCGCTCGGCGGCAAATTGTGCACAAATCAGGTCCTTGGATTACGAGATAGGCAGAGTGATAAGAAATCACGTTTATGATGAGTAAAATGATTAATTACCAATGAATGAGGCCGTTGGCATTGCGAGGCATACGGAACGAGCAAATTTCTATGTAGAGCCAGAAGGAGAACGGGAGCAGGGCGCAGGATTGATGGCTTGAGCTGCAGCTAAATATGCGTCATTTGTGCAGGGACAGAAACAGAGACAGAGATAAAGAGAGAGACAGTTAGAGAGCGAGAGAGAGTGAGAGCGAAAGATGGAAAGCGTCTGATGACGAGTACAAATGGTCACAGAGATGGATGAGTGCAGAGCAGGATTGGGTTGCCCTCTGTCTGATAGACATGCCAAATGACTGCATGACTTTTGGGTGAGTGTAAATTAAATTCTGTGCAAGGACGCAACGACGACGACATCAGCTTCATACATATTCAATTAGTGTGCGTTTGTGTCTCTCTCTTTGTGTGTGGGTGTGTTTGCGTGGGCGGACAGCATAGAGCTTCTCTCCAGATGAAAATGAAAAACAGCCATGACGATGATAGTATGCAAATTGACAAACAAAAACAAAAACACAAACACAAGCAGAAACAGAACAAGAGCTGCACACAGCCACCCGAAATATGACGGGCACACAAAATGCAAAACAGTCGGAGACAGTCGCTCGCCCTCTCTGCATGTGTGTGCGCGTGTGTGTGCGTGTGGGCGTGTCTGCTGCTGGGCGTATGCCAAATGATCTTGACAAGAATAATTGCGCTGTTATCATAATTAAAACCGTTTTTGGACACAACACACACGGACTCGGCCCACAGCCGCATGAGGGACATTTCATTTTGGCAATCATTTAATGCAAATGGTCGCCATTTTGTACGTTCTTATAACGGTATGCCGTCTAACTCTCTCTCTCTGTCCCTCTCCCTCTCTCGCTCTGTGAATTATAGCGTCTGCGTCCATTATTAATGACATTCCAGCTCTTGCGTCTTTATGGACTTGTGTAGTTAGTGGAACCCATAATATTATTGCATGATTCGTTGTTATAGCTTTTTCGTGATTTAGCATTTGCATAAATGAATGAGATTTTCCCCAATCATTGGATTGCCGAGTGCAGGCATGTAAACACATGCGACAGCCACCGACTCTTGTGTGGGTCTGCTTAGCTACATTTTACGTATAGATAAACTCAGCTTGAGCAGCTGTCAAATGTTAATTTGAGATTTCGATTTCGATTTCATAGATATATCGAAAAGAACTTAAGTTTTGGACATCATTTAAATGAGCTTCGATCATGCATGGTTTCTTCTTTTATTTCTCAAAATATTTTTCATATTGTCTCTTTCCTCTTGCCGCATAATTAGCACATTTATATCGAAAGCTTGTGGACCAAATCGATTCGACGCGTTTGTCTAAAGTGTCAAAGGCATCAGGCAATGAAACGACAAGTCGACAATGGGCCAGGCCGGTCATAAAACTTATGACAGATATGTGAAATACTGTCTAATTGATTTTTGGTAATCGTATGGAATACGCCAGCTGCCTGGTCCATTGTTGCCAGCTAATGGATTTGATTGTGTGTTAATGAATGGAGTGAAAATTCTATGAAGAACCACCCAAAAGAGTTCAAAAGACAGAGTGAGTGTGACAGAGGGAGAAAGAGAGAGAAAAAAGGAGACAGGGCAGCTCTTCCATCGAAGACTGCGCCATTGCTCCACACACACACACACTCTCATACTGTTTTTGGACTCACAATTAGTCAAATAGAAGCGGATTTTATGGGCGCTGGGACGGCACCTTAATGGCCCACAAAATGCAAATAAATCAGAAACTCACATAAATACCTATACGAATAAGCGCATATAAAAGGGAAGGGTGAGCCCGTAGTTCGAATTGAAATTTACGAGCCACTTTTAAAGACCAGAACTACAACAACAACAAATGTTTGTTAACCAATAGGAAATAAAACGAGCGCAGCTCCGACTTGTCGGCTGATCAGGGGCGGGCGAAGGTCTAAGGGTTTGGAAGGTGTGTGCGCAGCCATGCTGTAAATTTTCATGAGTTTTAAGTACCCATGGCGATCCGATCCGATACGAAACGAAACCAGCTCGAACAGGACGTGCGTAAACAAATAAATTTCCAATTTGGCCAGAGTCATATATTTGCCAGCGCCGAGACAAAATGCATAATAGTGTATGTGTCCAGTGAAATAAAAAGGTTTTTGATTTTGACAACCATCCATCCGTTCCTATGAAATTTACATAACGCTTTTCATCCTTATCTGGCCACCGACACCTGACGGATGCCCCGCAGCGGTGCCAAAAAACAAAAAACAAAAAACAAAAAAATACAAAAACTACAGAGCAGCAGACACCGCTTGACCAAAACATTGGCATATGTTTTATAGCATTGCCTCCTGGCCGCAATAAATAAATCCGTGTGCCCGGAATGCAAACATGCACAAACCTATCCAATATGGCATTGCCACTGCTCCATGCCGCCAGCTATCGAAGCGTAACGCTGCCACCACGTCAAATTGATTGCCACAATATTTGATTGACTTTGACATGTTGCCTGTCATAAATTTCCTAGTGTGTGTGCCTCTGTGTGTGTGCGTGTGCATGTGTGTGTCTTTCCTTGAATGTTTTACCTCCGCCGTTTCTAAGGCGATCTTGATCTCGCCTGGTGGCCACAATAAACCGTTTGTGCATATCCGAGGCAGCATTCGGTGCCAGCCGGATCAACAGCACTATATTTATTGCTTCAGAGAGGCACTATACATTTATTTGACTGACTAGTATGTTAGTTAGTTACTATATTATGTATTTGATAAAATAGGGGCGGCTGTTCATGTAAAAAGTAGTGAAATGTTTATGAAAGTAATTATGCGACTACGTAATTATCTTGACAATGCACCAATTATATTGCTAATCAAGATCAATTAAATTCATTATTAGTCAAATTAAAGTCGGTTTCTTCTTTTTTTTTTTTTTTTTGAAACCAAAGTGTTTTCGCTTGACCAAAAAGTAGATTTTACTGGAGAAATGCCATATTGCATTCTATCCTTATCCAAAAGCAGCCGTATATTTATTTATCAACGAAAAATTATTTTTGTATTGTGTAATTTCACTTAGTTTAGACATCAAATAATGAAACAGATCAAAAACATATATAATATCTTAACTAGTTTGAAAATTGATATATATATTAGATATATGATATATTAAATTTTTCATTTTGACTACTATTTTAAAGACATACTATTTTAAAGATCTTTATATATTAGTCAAAAATATCTAAAATTTGGAATTTATTTGAATTTCTTGACGTACATGCCAAAGCACAATATTTAGGTACTTCAATTGAGATTTCATTATAAATAACAAATCATACTGATTCTGTTGAAATTATACAACAAAAACTACAATTTAATGCTAACATAATATTTAAAATGTAACCTACCTGCAAGAATCTCTTTATATATTTCACAAGCATTTCTCCGGAATATCTATTTACGTAAAACCAATCATAAATACATTTCTGGTGAACATTGATGTTGTAAATCCAAATTGGAATACTTAAGGAAATACTTTTTCTTCTTCCGGCAGCCAAAAACGTAGCCTAGCGCATTTACCTGCAGATATTAGGATAAAAAACTGTTTACCATAAACATAGCTTCCTTAAATCATTATTTTATAATAACATTATGATACTTTCCCTTAAATTTGAAAGCATGTTATTTCATACGGCAAGCTAGTGACAAGTCTTGAATTCAACAGTCTGTTGCCTTCCACTTGGAAACTATGCTTTAGTGGGTGCTAGATGACGCATACAACATCGTTATGATGTCGCAAGCGGACAGATGGACACACGCACACACACACACACACACGCGCACACATTCAAGGAGAGAGAGAGAGAGAGAGCATTCACTCAAGGCCCTCAAGCAAGCGGGCTGAAGTTCACGTTCTGGCCAAGCAAATCCCAAACAACATGGACACAGCTGTTACCAAAAAATAATGACCATGAAAAGCAGCCTTAATGATGCCAACTAATGTTGTTGCCTGCCAGCCTGCCAGCCAGCCTGTCTGTGGCTCTCTCCCCCCCTCCCCCACTCGCTCTATCTCTGTCTCTGTCTTTCGCTGTGCCAAAAAGATGCCCCAATCTGCAGTTTGGGGCAACACACGAAAAAAAATAATAATTGTATTTTTATTTCGCATAATGTTGCAAATAATAATTACACAAATGTGCAAATGAAGCTGTAAATTATGTTGTATCTGGTTTAATTGCACCTTTGGGTCGTTGCGAGCGTTGATTTTCGCATGCCACGGCGAAGGCAATGGCAATGGCCCCGACCATATATACATATTTATTATTTATATTAAAATGGAGCAGAGCTAATTGCTTTTCATGAAAAATATTATTTTATAAACTGTCTCGTATATCAGTTGATTTAAGTACAATTAAATAATATTTATTATGTATATAATTTTAAAGATATTTTTTAAATATCTTGCACTATTTTAGAAGATGATGATTAGCTTGATTTGAGCAAAGTGCTCCATCATCTAGCAAATGCAGAAATTATGCTCGATTTTGCAGCAGCACATGCCACACGCCACACGCCGCAGGCCAAGGCAAAAAACGTGTCTAGGCCTATGCAGAATAATCCCCTTCAAGAGAAAGAGAGAGAGAGGGAGGGGAAGAGAATGAGGATGAGAAAGGGCGAGCGCAAGCGAGGGTGGGGCATGCAACATATGTTGCCAGAAGCTGAGGCGCGCGGTTGCAAAATGGAAAATGAAGCGCAACCAAAGATGTTAGTCATGGTTTTGCATAGTTTTTGCTGCTACTCCTGCTACTCCTGCTGCTGCTGCTGCTGTTGGCTTTTGTGTAACTGCTGTTGGGCAATGGCAACAGCAACGGCAATGGCATTGGGAACACAAGCGCTGTCCAGGGCTTAATATTGTCTTAATTGAGGGTTAACCGGCGTTGATGATGCGACTTATGGGCTGTGAGACGGGCATTGTTGAATGAATGGGTGACGGGCCTCGACTTAATGACTTTGACAATGTGTGCCTCAGTGGGCTGCTGCTGCTGCTGCTGCTGCTGCTGGACTGGCTAATTACATACGAAAGTTTGTGCTGCGCTTACTTAAAACTTTAATTGCCTAACCACACACACACACACTCATACACACACACATGTATACACGCAGCAAAGTCTAAAGTTTACCATTTCAATTTGTGAATTTTGCAGGTTTGGTTTCAGAATCGTCGCACCAAATGGCGCAAGCGTCATGCGGCGGAAATGGCAACGGCCAAGCGGAAACAGGACGACATGGGTGGCGACAACGACGGCGACTGCAGCGAGACCATGGACAGCGACAACGAGAGCCTGGACATGGGCGAGGCACCCGCCCAGAGCAAGAGGAGTCGCAGCAGCGGCCCGGGCTCCCAGCAGCAGCAGCACCCACAGGATAATTATCGTCATTAAAACGAATTTACCAAAATGGCAACAAGCATAAATAAATAAATAAATGCAAGAAAACGTAAAACATAAAGCAAACAACAATTACAACAGCAACAACAAATGAGAGAGCTAATAAACTCGAAAACAGCGAAAGGTTCGCAACATTTGTCGAGCGTTTCCTCCTCTTCTTATTAGCTAGTTACAACAACAACAACCACATTTATAAAGAAGGTTCTGCCACTTTACAGTCTTCTGAAGACGTCAGTTTTAAGGCTACGCAAGTTGATTTCTTCCTCGATTTCGCCCTCTTGTTTCACATATACAAATGTGTGTGTAAATATTTATGTTAATTCTCCAAGTGCATAGATATATAGAACTTAGATATTTTGTATTTGATAACCGGGCTCTAAATGCCAAGTCGTCTTAAGTCACACAGTTTACTGAATTTATTACAAATTGTACATTTAGTTTCATAGTTTTTTCTTTTGTGACAAACATAAAGTTGAAGCAACCCAAAAACAAAAAATAAATTTAAAAAAAATGAAAAAGATTTTAAAAAATCAGTTAAAATATAAATAATAATAAATGTAAAAGCTAGAATGGAATGCGAAGAACCTTAACTAATAATTATATTATATTGAACATAAAATACTGCAGTAATTATGTAAAATTTATTTAAATTTATTGCTAATTTTAATTATTTCAAATTGATCAAGAATAAAACGATAAAATTATAAATCATAAATGAGACAATGTGTTTGAACTGATGGATAGATCATCTCTACATATACATGCATGCATAAGACTACGTTAGTTATACGCTGAAATCGGCTCAGCAACACCCACAAGAGCTAAACAATTGCTGCTCAGGGCTCAGGGCTCATAACAATTACAGACCGGAAATCTGCTTAAGCCTGAGTCAGTAAGTCAGTCAGGGAGTCAGGCAATCTGTCAAAAATATTCTTGACTGCAGTCAAAAGGATTAGCTCAAAGAGTTTCAATCTGCGGCGAACAAGGTGCAGACAAAACGGAACCGAAATGAATAGAGAAATGTGTGAAAAGAATCAACGAAAATCCAAAGATTGATTAACTGTCAATCAAAAAATCGTTGAACAAAAACTTGCACAGCCAATGAATGAAATTGAAACAGGTTGCTGCAACAATGAGCCGCACCAAATTATGAATGCCTAAGCTTTGGGCAGATGGGGAATACATGCGACTTGGACCGAGAGCTGTGAATATCTAAGGGAGAACAACAAGTTGAGTCCATGAGGCACTTTGATGTCGAGCTCTATTCACTGCTCTTAGGCTTGTTAGGATCGTCAGCTAACGACTCTGTTGCTGTTGCTGTGGCTGTGGCTGTTGCAACTACCGAACTCGCTCGCATTGTGTATGGGCCATGCCTAATGGAGCCACATTTATCATACTTTAAGTTTTTCTAGCTCTCCTCTAGCCTATAGTGCGCAAACAATGGGCCCAGTGGACTGACCCGACTCGGATCTATTCAAAACACCATTAGCATACGGCCGATAATTGCCTCGACGAGCCATTAGCGGACTCGTACGCCCTAAAGTAAACAGCCGCCGTATTACGTTGTGAAATTCCAGATCAAACATCAATTATTAAAAGCGAGTCTCGATTCTCCAGCATCACTCTCAGTTTGTTGTTCATTTCAGAGGCAATCTGCCGACTCATGCAAAGAGCAAAGATCACGTTTTACATTGCAGATCTTTTCATGAGCAACTTCCGCACACTTCCGCTGCGAGCAGACCTGCTTTTGGTTAGCCGAAATTCGCCTTTGTGTTGCGTACGCGCCCAGTGTCAACTTCCAGCAATTGGCGATCGAGTGTGAATTGCCATTGAATTTGGCATTTCGTTCCAGCTGCGCCGACGCATGCGCAGGCGCAGGCGTATATGGAATATGTGGCCGATCCTACGTGTCCGAGCCGGGGTTTTCGCTCAACTCGGCTCAGCTCGGCTCCGTTGTCGACTTCAGGTAAGTCCACCTAAGCCGCTTATTGAGCCTGAGGTTAATAGAATTCGGAATTTCGGTCGAGCGCTCATACGTGTCCCTAGTGTATATGATTTTGAGTTAGGATCTGCTTGTTAATCCGCTTGCTGAAAAATTGCAAGCTGCTGTGGGTCTTTGGTTTGCGAATTCCACTTCTCGGTTTCGGCCTCGGCTCTGCTTTGTTTGGGTCAGGCACGTCAATAAAATTGATTAATTGTTTAATTGTTGAGCTAACAGATGAATGAAATGAATGGAATTGCATAAAATTTGGATGGGATCATTTGAGAGGCGAATGTGATCTATTAAATGTCAGAGAAGCTTGTCTTTGAATTCCAGATAAACTATTTATTGCAATAAAAATAGAATAAATATTACAATATATAACTTTTAGTTACCGGAGACATTGAGTTGCATAGGCTTAAGAAAGAAAACAATAATAAATTCCAAGTAAAAATATTTATTAATTTTTCCAAAGTTTGAATTTCTAAGCAATTATAACACTAGTTGCAAGAAATCTGATTGTACTACATATTATTATTTGTTCATTCTTTACTTGTCACCCACCTTAGAACCTCTAGTTATCCCTAATTTGTGTAAATTCCTTCTATGCGTTTTGCTTCAATTTTCTGCTCTAAACTCAATCAATCCCTCTCTTTTACAGCCCGAACTGATATATCCATGTACAATACAAAATACGTTTTTGATCTGTTTGCTGAATTTCATAAATTTATGTTAAAGAATTAAAAAGTGTATGTAAAACAAAACTTTATCTCCTTCGATCTCGTTGTTTCTAGTTATTTCCTATCGATAGTTATTATGAAGAAAATATTTAAACCTGTTTAAACAGTTGACCTATAGCAGACTAGAACTTAAAACATTGTTCTACGTTTCAGTACGTTTCAATATAAATTCATTTTATTTATTTTATGATTCATATTAGCTTTAACTCAATTTTACTACAGATATAGAGGGAAAAGACCCCTAGATTTACCTGCCATATACTCAGCTTTTATAGTACTCCAACAGATTAATTCGCTGTCACTCTATGATCTAATTCCACAGCTTCATTTACCACTTGTACGGCGATCAATAAATAGCGAGACTCGGCCCCCCTGGGGAAACGTGAAGAATGCCGTGCACGAGGATATGTGATAGCCAATATATACTCGTTAGTTGTCTGCAGAGCCCAGCCCACAATGAACTCCTACTCCGCTGTCGGGGCATTTAGGCTGACAATGACAGGCCGGGGCAGCTATACCAATCTGCCAATGCCAAAAACACAGCCAGTCTCCCAGTCAGCCAGTCAGCCAGTGGAGTTGGCCATCAAATTGTTTGGACTGCAGGCCGCCTATTCAACTGACACCTCATGAATGTCCGGGAGAGAGACGTACACACACATAGATAGAAATACACACACACACACAGAGATAGACACACGCTGTTGGTATGGGATCTACTAAATTGTCCCTCGACACAAATTCGAAATCGATAAATGATAAAAATCAACAGAAACTTCATGGATGCTCTATCGCCTGCTCGCTCCCACTCACAGTGGCAAATGGCAAATGGCGGCAATGGCGCTTCATGAAGCTTTTATTGTCTGTCTATTTCTAAGCTTTGTACATGGACTTCCCAAAATGTATTGCTGTCCCGCTCGAAGGATTAGACTCTCTCCCACTTACTCACTCACACAAATACATGCACACAAACAGACACACACACACACACATACACTGAGAGACGCAGTCGCTTGTGCAGCAAATTTTCGAAAACTTACCAAATTGTTTTCGTTGTTAGGGTTTGCTGGGTGGATTCCAATGCTGATATACGAGCATTGCAAGTTGCTGCTGTCTATATTGGGGATGTCTATATACATGTGTGTGTCTCTGTATGTGTGTGTGTGTGTGTGAGTGGAGCTCTCTCTTGCCGTTTTTTTGCAGACAGACGACATTGATTATGCTCTGTTTTTTGCTGGCTCCTTTTTATTTTCTCTTTTCCGATTTACATTAAATTGAATTATTGTTTATGTTTATAGCTAAACAATGTATCTATGTGCTTTTAATGAGCAGCGAGTTAATATATAAGCACTGCCCAGACAACGCTTAGAAACCTTCTCCGTTAAATAAAAGCAAATAAATTATATTATACGATTTCTAAAGGAAAATAAGAGTTTATATATTATTTCTTGTATTATATAAGCAGAGTTTCGCTTGCAATCAAATGAAATAAATACTTGAGTATATTTCGCATACATTATTAAAATTTAATTGTAATTCTAAATCATTAAATTTTATTATTGTTTATTTTCGACATTTTTCATATCAACATTTTTAATTAAAAATCTCAAGAAAATTCAATTAACTTGGACTGTTAATGAGCTGCCTTGGGGCGCTCGGTAGCCTATTAAAAATGCAACAAACACGTCGCAAGCGGAAAAGAAACCAAACCAAATTTGGCAAAAACAAAGGCATGAAAGAAAAAAGAATAGAGAAGGTCAAAATGTAATCAAACCCAAGGCGAAGAGCTCAACGTAGCTCATTAACTTCACCACACGCGCTCAGGTCGAGTGAGTCTTTGAGTGAGAGTTGCGAGTGGTTGGCCACGCCCCCAATAGAAGTGAGTCATGCGCAGGGTTGCAACCAAAATGGCCATGCCAAACGGTTTCCTGTGGTTTCAATTCCATTTCGTTGCATAGAAACTGCGCACAAGATGAACACACCAGCAGCGAGACAGAGAGACAGCTACAGCTAGTGAGAGAGCGAGAGCGAGTGAGCGAGTGAGTGAGTTGTGGGGAGCTAGCTTTTTAACGCGCTCGACATGAAAATGAGCAACGAATCGTGCGACAAGCGACGGAGTCCATTTTGAGTTTATTGTTTGATGATTTGAACATTTTATACATATATATATATAAATTTATATATATATTGGATGCGTGTGTGTGTGTGTCTGTAAGCATCTGTAGTTGTATCTCCTTTAGTTGTATCTTTGTTGTTCTTTTTGTAATTGCTTGATGTGCGCTACTTACTTAGCTCTAACGTATATCCTTTTATTCTCCTTCATACTTACCCAAAGTAGATTATTGCATTGCACTCTTCGTTCCCTCTCTGACTATCTGCCTCTCTCTCGCTCTCTCTTGCTGCTCCTCTGTTATTTATAAGCCAACAATATTCTCTTTTGCTGCGATGCTCTACTCATTCATTGGCGTTCAGCCTCCAGCTGCTAAATTTATTGCTCTTTGATTGACAATTTGGCAGCGCGGGGAGTACAATTAATTTGCCATATAATGCATGCGTTACAGGATCTCATCAATTTCTATTGTTTAAGCGTTTGTCACCTCGTCCGATGAGCTACGGCACAGT